GCGGTAGTGGAATGTTCCACTTACTTAGGGAGCTGCGTGACAAATGACGGTAGCCTAGTCAATGCAGTAACCGCCCGCATTTCTAAGACTCGAGCAGCTTACGCAGGATTGAAATACCTTTGGTGCAGATGTTATGTTTCTTTGAAACTGAAAGATCATGTACACTGCGCCAGTATGCGGTCAGTTTTGCTTTATGGTTGCGAGACCCTAAATTTGCGCGTCCAAGATATTCGTCGTCTAGAAGTATTCGACTGCAGATGTTTACGTAGTTTGGTGCGGGTTGGATGGAGCGAGTGCGTAAGCAATTCGTAGGTAAGGCGTCGCGTATTTGGTAATAATTCGATGGAGAATTCGTTGTCCTATCGAATTCAGATTAGTCGGCTTCGCTGGTTAGGAAACGTATTGCACATATCCATCCATCGTCTACAGCACCGCACCTTATTCGCAGTTGCGGCTCCAGGTTGGAAGAAACCGCATGAAGGTTAGCAGATGATGTGGAAACGAGGCATGAAGAAATGTACACAGCGATTAGATAGAGTCGATGTCTCCAGTCTTCCAGGTTGCGGTCCAAAAGACTCCATAACTGACTGGTTGGAGACACTGAAGGATATGGCAGCTAACCGACAGCAGTCAGAATGCTCGAAAAATGAATGTATGTACACTTAGATTGTGTACTCTGTGTGTTGACCATAGAGGTTCACTTTATTTGCCTCCCTCCAATTAGGCCCCATCCCTCTCCATCTTGCGCCTTATCACTTGATTTGTGAACAATGTGAGCTTGGCAACGATCAGTGAAGTTCGCTTCGCTGTACGATGATGATGATGGAGGGCTCGCTCCCTGAATCGGAAATAAATTCTCGGCGACTGTAGTTAACTTACCCAGAGAGAAGACAGGGAGCAAAGCTGTGTGCTACCGAGCGCATCCTCAGGTGGCGGATAGGGAAACGGTAGCCGATTCGTGACTGACTGGGTAAAATATGGGCCTAGTTAAGCAAGCTGAACAGACGGTGTCAGGCGATCAACGGTAGTGCTCAAGGAAGTGGTTGGTTTATTGGCAAGGGTTCACCAAACAAAACAATATAGATATCGGTGGACGGCGTTGTAATGTGACAGATGTGACTCACTACTAAATATGACCGGTGCTCCCTGTCGAGTCCCCGTTAACGGACAATATTTTCCAAGAGCCGGCACACCGGCTCATCTGAAACAACGCAATTGTCTCAAAGTTCGCACTTGACTACACAAAGCCCAGAGTGCACCTTCGAACAAGGCCTACTGTGGACTGGGTGATCTAGGAGTACAACCACGCATAACGCACACAATGGTGACACTCGTTGCCGACTCCAAACCTAACTTTCAGCGATGTAATGTCACCAGATAGAGACAGAGACAGGAATGCGCCTTTTTGATCGAAACCCATGTTCGCTGAATGGACGGAACACAGTGTGGATGGAAGCTGGACAGTGTGGTGGTGGTGGTGGTGGTGGTGGTAGTATTACTTTACTGATTCCAGCTGCTGGAGCTCTAAATAAGCGTCTGTGAAGCGTAGCGTCACCTTTGTGCATTCTTCCGTCATTGGTTTTCAACTGTACTTTAGAGCCGATCAATCTATCAGCTCACTGTTCGTCTTGAAAGATCAAAATATTTGCTAATCTCGGGTTGTGAAATCATAAATCCCACATCCTGGTTGCATCCAATGAACTCAAAAAAACTGTTGGTTTATAGAACTGCAAAGTGCACGTTTATACATATTTCAAACAATACGTTCCAACACACGGTTGTACAAGGATAGACCGTACTTAGTAAAAGTACAACTGGGTTTGATCAAGTTGAGATTAACTTGACGATATGGAGATTCAGGATCTAGGGATCTAGGGAAGGGGGCGGATGGTTTTAGCGAATAGTTTGGGCCCCGTCTTGAACAGGGTGATACAAAGCTGTTCAATAAACAAGGAACCATATAATCCTTACCAGGTCGTTATAGTTCCACTGAGTATTGGAAAATCAAACAATCGATTTCTGCGATTTTGCAATATTCCAACCGTTGCTTCGAGGAACAAAGAATTGCCGACTGTGGGAGACCCGTGCGCATCACAGCAATCCACCCAAAAGGAAGCCGGGAAATTTCGACCAATCGTTTGCGATTCCGTTTTATTAAAGACTTCCGAAAAGCTTACACTTGATAACATTATTCTTAACAGTGGGGGTCTAGATCAGACAATTCGCTTAACGCTGCACCTTGGACGCACTTCCGCATTTGGTAAACTCAGTTTTATCATCCCTAGCCAGGCGTCGTATAGCATTTGGTGTGTTTCCTCGGCTACAGTAATGCATTTAATTGTGTCGACAGGAACAGGCCTGTTTCTAATCCATGGTGCTGGATTGTCTATTACTACACTGTCTCTACTCTAAGATTATTTTACTGGTAGGATAAATTTCACGAGTTTTCTCGGAAACTTTTCTGTTTCTATTTAGGGGTTTATTAAGAATCAATTCTGTCCCCTTTTCTTTTCTCTCTCTCTCTCTCTCTCTCTCTCTCTCTCTCTCTGTATATATATATATATATATATATATATATATATATATATATATATATATATATATATATATATTCACACGTATTATCGTATAACAACGAGTCCTAGTCTGGATCGAAACGTCACAATAAATACTATCACTCAGTGCTCGCCTTCTCCTTTTCAAAATATCTATATATTCGAGACCTACCCACTGACCGGGATGATCTTCTTATCAAGTATACTGATGATGTCATCATGAATTCCAAATTCCAAAGGTGATTTCCGTTTCTTACAGCTTCAAACCACTTTATATGCCTGAAGTATATGATCTTCGGATTCCAAAATATCTATTCACTCAACTAAATATCGGGATATGACCGTCTCACTAGTTAAAAGAGGATGGCTACATTCCTTTCAAATAAATTGATCTGTAATCCATGTCCGTAATCAGTCTGTTACCTCAGTACATTCCCTACAATGCAGTTTCAGTTTGAAAAACCATTAACCATGCACTTTCGTTCCCCATAATATCTCGGTGTTACTATCTGCAACATATCACGTGGACTTCGAATTTCAATTCTACTTTTAAAATGATTCAACGACTGTCTCTTCATTTCCCGCTTGCGATCTTTAAAAGTTTCACTGTATTCACTCACCCGTTTTGTATATTCTTGCATTACCACTCAGCTTTATTGCTCCCCAGTTTCATTTGTCGGTCTTAGAGTTGAAGACTAAACAATTCTACGTTGGTCTTTTAGAATTGTTTCACGCCGAGTGGTATGCCCTATTTACACTTGCTCTATTTCATCGCCAACAAACATTTTGCCTCTTGCGAAAACTTATGCAACAATATTCTATCACGCCCCACAAAGTTTAAACAACGTGTATCCCCTTGTGTAACTAGGTGTCGTTATAAGCATGTGTATACTCGTACCACTGCCTACCGTTTGTTCGGTATCCCAAATCTTTCGAGAATTCTGATACAGAAGGCATGGAGAAAACTTTGAAATTCCTACCTAATTGATATCCATTTTTACATTCTTAAGCCACCTTCCGTCGGCGCTGTAATTTACTTTCTCTCTGTGATTGTATGCGATGATAGATGACCTGGTGTTTAAGGAGCTTAAAATCCATCCATTAGAATGAATAAAGCGATTTGCGACTTCAGTGTTTTGTGAAAAATGGAACAGGTAAGATGATAAGCTGTGATGAGCCCCACTGAAGAGAAGCGATTGCAACAGCAAGGTGAAGAGGAACTGTAATTTTGAGTACAAGAGTATGAGTAGTGCATATGAGGACCGAGCAGGTAACGTATTAAAATCGCTCGGGTGTAGTAATACCGCGTAACTCATCCGAGAGGTTAGCCCTATTCTAAACAAATTATCAAAAAGCCTAAAACTTACAAAGCAGCGAGACGAATCGTCTGAAAAATAAGAACTGTTAACAGAGCTCACGTGTCTTTTAGAAGGCCTCAAAAGGCGGTTGGTGAAGTAACGTATTCCCATAGCAGAAGTCTCCTGAGCCATCTACTGGGCTAACTGTACTCACCGATTTTTTCTGGCGATGTTGTTTTTACCAAAGAGAATGGATGAGAATTCCTGAGGTAGTGGTCAGATCATTAAGCCACTGGCAGTTAGCTGATCAAGTTTGGTAAGAAAACCCGATTCTAAACCGAGACGAGGCAAAATCCGTGAATCCAAAGTAATCAATAGAGATGCCAATCTTTCTGGGTCTGATAAGCACCACAGAGTTGATTAGGAATCGAAGTATATAAAGTACCCAGCAAGTTTGATGCCATCCAAACAGCGTATGTTCTGAAGAACTGGACGTCAGAGATGAGACTGACCGGGAACTGCACACTACATTCGGCTTATGAAGACTATGATACAACACCGTTGAAAACCTTCAACTCAAACACAAAAATATCAATCTTGTATCGTTGATCAATGTGTGCATTAGTTAGATATCACGTATGTTGTCTCCCCTTCCAAAATGGATGAATTCCTGAACAGGATAACCACGGGATTGATAAGAGTGATTTATATTAGACTAAGCTCGGATCACAGTTCACAAAAAAAGATCCAGTGGGTTCTCTCCCTCAGTTAGTCCATTCATTATCGTGAAAAATAGCCCGTAATTGGCAGGTAAAAATTAGCCTGAAGGCACCGGAGAATCGAAAAAAGCAAAGAGCTAAGGCTAAAACCGAAGAATGATCGCTGTACAACCAAAAGGAACAGTTGAGAATGTAAAACCCTTTCAAGGTGGAATACACAAATATGGAACGCCGAGGCTAACCGATCGGGCAAGATATTAGGCACACAAGTAGAATCTATCTAAGCGTTAAAAACCGCATTCGAGCTAAACACTACGTGTCTGGTGATCAGTAACGGTGATTGATTAGGAACACTTAGGAAACTGAACAAGTACGAAGCTCGATGTGATTTAGTGCACTATCAGAAAAAGGAAAAGAATGCAACTGACCTTATAGCGTGTGCTTTTCAACTCGATGAGGACAAACACCGTGTCGACCGGCTTCGTTATCCAGGCCACCTCGTTCTCCAGCGCATCCTGATTCTCATGTTGTTCAGATGCCAAGCATAAATTCAACCAATGTGACAGACCTCCACGTCCGGCACCAAATTCCACGTAGACGAATTGAGTGGAAAGAAGTTGTTCCCTTTTAAGCACATTGATCAAACATCCATTTTGATATACATGTCGTTTGGCACCACGGCTGTCGGGAAGAGAAGTCTTCACTTGAGGCGAACTTGTGGGCTCTGGTGACAGGGAATTAAAATAAACGGAAAGAAACCGATAACTACTAATAAGTAAGCACAGACGTTTCGCATAAATTTAGCCACGGAAACCACGATAAAATCACACGATATTAACGGCAGGGTGACTGCTCCATCGTAGTCGAGCGTCTCGTCCCTCTCACCCGTGACCTTAAGCAAGTAAATTCCCTCTGACCCCTGACGCAATCTGGTTGGATCATATTCCACGAGCTGCGACGCCTAAAATCTCTCACCCTAAACGAGACTGTCTGATTACCGGCTTGTACTTTTGGCAATGCTCTTGTTGTTAAGTTCAGTCCATCCGAGTGTTGATGACACGCCTGCCACACAGTCGAAGTTCACTGGGCCTGTTTGAGACTCTCGGCTGTAAAAAAGGTGCGGCTTCTCGCTCGGGTTAGCTGAGCAAGCACCAGGTCTCTTGTTGTGGCTGAACCATTCGATCGATCGATAAATCAACCCGATCGGTCGTGTGATTTTCGGGTCGGCGCAGGAGGAGGATAGGTTCCGAATCCGATGCAGCCTGTGTTGGTAGAGAATCACTCCATGAGAATCAGTTGTGGAGCGGTGCGCCATGTGGGAAATTCCGAATGGAAAATGCTTACGCGATTATGACACGGGGCCAACGCTTAACTCGTCTAAGATACACGCACCATTTTTCGAAGTGGGTTCAGTAAACAGATAATCATAATAAACTTCGAACTTGTCTTAATAACGGAC